TTCTGAATCGTTATTTCTACTTTTTCTCATCTTTTTTCGGCAATCTAAATGCATGTGAAAGTGGTTTTGCATATTCTTCTTTGAAATGCAATTGCATCAGCCATTACCTATGAACAGAACTTGATGCTGATGTTCCAATAACTAGTTTGCCCTTAAATAATTTGTTTCAGTTATTATAAATCACAGGGTATCCCTGGCAGGTCCTTTGAGCTCATATTGGTCAACTTCTGTTGACGGGTTCGACCAAGAGATAGAGAGAAGAGAGAGGAAGGGATGGAAGGTGAAGATACACGACCTCTCTGGCTCCGCTGTTGCAGCTGCCTTAATAACAACTCCCTTTGTGCCATCAACAGGTTGTGATTGGGTTTCCAGATCCAACCCAGGAGCCTGGCTGATTGTTCGACCTGATGCTTGCAGACCCGAGAGCTGGCAGCCATGGGGAAAGCTCGAGGCATGGCGTGATCGTGGCATCAAAGACTCCATTTGCTGTCGTTTCCACCTTCTATCTGAAGGCCAGGAGGGAGGGGAGCTTCTCATGTCCGAGATACTGATCAATGCCGAAAAGGGTGGGGAGTTCTTTATAGACACTGACAGACAGGTTCGAGCAGCAGCAACTCCAGTACCGAGCCCACAAAGCAGTGGAAACTTTGCAGCACTAAGTCCAGTTGTTGTGGGGTTTGTCATGAGCTGTAGAGTGAAAGGGGAAGGGAAATGCAGCAAGCCATTGGTGCAACTTGCTATGCGACATGTGAATTGCGTAGAGGACGCTGCCATCTTTATGGCACTCACTGCAGCCGTTGATCTGAGCATCGAGGCGTGCAAGCCTTTCCGTAAAACGAGGAGAGGGAGACGCCATTCCTGGTGACATTGCATATTTTGGTGGTGATGAATTTCCATGAACCCCACCCAGGAAGCTATATCCTTCTTCCAAACCGTTGTAACATTTGCAATTGTGTACCCATTCACCTCATGTCCATGAGAGGCAAGGCCAGATTAGTAATTGTGCTACTCTTCAATAACTGTATGATCCATGATTTTAGTTCTCGTTTAGATTTTTTTCTTCAGTAGTGCTTTTATTTTTTTTTTAATCGACTTCTAGGTAAGGGCCCACGCTAGCTTGAGTTTATGGCTTCGTCCCTACCTACTTAGCATTGAGGACTCACCGAATATTCTCACCAATGCTCCGTTTAGTACGATGGAAAAGTGGGGGAATAAAAAGTTGGAAAAATGAAAAGTTGGAGGGATAAATAAAACATCATATTTGATAAGGAAGGATAGAAAAGTGGATGAATTAACTTTCCTTTTAACTCACCAAAATCAATCTCTCCAAAATTGGAAGGAAAGTGGGTAGAAAGTTTATTATTTGTGTTGAGATGTATCTTATTTGTTTATATATCTTATGTATACATTAATTTCATATAAAAATATAATGGTAAAATATGTATATGTATTTTAAAAAAAATTAAAAAATTTTAAATTAACAAAAAAAAAAAAAATTTCCATCTTAACTAAAAATGAAAACTTTTGACTCAATACAATGATACGACCCGAACTCGATACAAAAATAAGCAGGTCAACTCGACACGACACAAATAGTTAAATGAGTTCAGTTTGACTAATATTCAACACAAATCCGTAATGATTCAATACGAATCTAACATATACGAATCAACTCGATTATTACCCCTAATTTTAACTAGTACAAAAAAAAATAATTATTTTTATTTTTAATTTTAACTAGTAGAAAAAAATAGTCCTCGTACTATTAATAATGAAGTTATCTTTTAAAGTGTAATCAACACTTGTCAAGATCAATCGTAAATAATTATAATTAATCTCTTTTTATTATTTTTCTTTGTATGAGCTATATATATCGACGTTGAACCGTTTTATATTGAATGAATGTTATAATAATTTTTAATGTACAATGTTATTTTTGTCAAGCGAAACAAAAAATTAAGTTTATAATTAAAGTGTTCACTCTAAAAANTTTATTTTTTTTTTAATCGACTTCTAGGTAAGGGCCCACGCTAGCTTGAGTTTATGGCTTCGTCCCTACCTACTTAGCATTGAGGACTCACCGAATATTCTCACCAATGCTCCGTTTAGTACGATGGAAAAGTGGGGGAATAAAAAGTTGGAAAAATGAAAAGTTGGAGGGATAAATAAAACATCATATTTGATAAGGAAGGATAGAAAAGTGGATGAATTAACTTTCCTTTTAACTCACCAAAATCAATCTCTCCAAAATTGGAAGGAAAGTGGGTAGAAAGTTTATTATTTGTGTTGAGATGTATCTTATTTGTTTATATATCTTATGTATACATTAATTTCATATAAAAATATAATGGTAAAATATGTATATGTATTTTAAAAAAAATTAAAAAATTTTAAATTAACAAAAAAAAAAAAAATTTCCATCTTAACTAAAAATGAAAACTTTTGACTCAATACAATGATACGACCCGAACTCGATACAAAAATAAGCAGGTCAACTCGACACGACACAAATAGTTAAATGAGTTCAGTTTGACTAATATTCAACACAAATCCGTAATGATTCAATACGAATCTAACATATACGAATCAACTCGATTATTACCCCTAATTTTAACTAGTACAAAAAAAAATAATTATTTTTATTTTTAATTTTAACTAGTAGAAAAAAATAGTCCTCGTACTATTAATAATGAAGTTATCTTTTAAAGTGTAATCAACACTTGTCAAGATCAATCGTAAATAATTATAATTAATCTCTTTTTATTATTTTTCTTTGTATGAGCTATATATATCGACGTTGAACCGTTTTATATTGAATGAATGTTATAATAATTTTTAATGTACAATGTTATTTTTGTCAAGCGAAACAAAAAATTAAGTTTATAATTAAAGTGTTCACTCTAAAAAAAAATTATTGTTGTGTCGTGGTTATAGAATACTAGGAATAACTTGTGTTTAAACGTACACTGCAATGTGAATGATTTTGAAAAAAATGTTGGTGATCATTTGATAAGTCTATTTAAAACAGTCGGATAAATTTATTAAAATCTGTCATATTTTATATTTTAAAGCTAAAAATTTAAATTTTAAAATTCATATCGAAAATAGATAATTGACGGTTATACTAGTTTAAGACCGAAGAGGGCTATCAAGATGATCTTTCGGCGCTCTTCAAATTACTAACCACCGTAAGGCTATGGATATGTCTATATCTATATATATATCAACATCAATACTACACCTACACGTTAATTCTAATTATATAATAATCTATAAAACTAGAAAAACATATACCTCAAAAACACATCAAGTTTCAGGCTCTTAGGCCTCAACCCTAATCACCAGCTTCACCCATTCCCTGAGCCTTCAAAAAAAACAAAATCCGACACAGCAAAACCATGCAAAAACACATGAATTCATGAAGAAAATAATCCAACCATCACCGGAAAATACTCGTCAATTCGCCGGAAAATTCCCCATAAATTCTCTCCCTCTCTCTTATGTAGAAATAGATGCATAAAGAATGGTAGGACAATCAAGAAAATGGGTGATATTGGTGGCGAGTACGTGGATACAGGCGTTCACAGGAACAAACTTCGATTTCTCGGCGTATTCATCGGATTTAAAGTCGGTTTTGGGCATATCACAGATGCAGCTGAGCTACCTGTCCGTGGCATCGGATATGGGTAAGGCATTTGGGTGGTGTTCAGGTGTCTGCCTTATGTATTTTCCATTATGGGTTGTTATGTTCATGGCTGCTTTCATGGGTCTTTTTGGTTATGGTCTTCAATGGCTTGTCATTCAGAGACTCATTTCCTTGCCTTATTGCTTGGTTAGTTCTCCTCTCTCTCTTGGTACTTTAATTTTCCCCTATGCTTTTGCTTTGATATGTTCTTAATTTCGATCTTCTTCTTTGAATTTGTTACATTTGCATTATCTTGAATTCAAAATGCATTGAGGAATAGATTTCAGATATGACCTATTTAGGTTTATTTTAATTCATTCTTGGGTTATTCATTTTCCTATTAATTCTTACAAGTGGTTTGTGTTTATTTGGGTAAATAGTAGTATTTTGTATTTGTTTTCTATTTTCCTACTATTTTGGGATCCTATTTTGTGTGTCGCTTGAAGAAATACATTTTGAATTCCTTGCATTATATATATATATATATAATTATTAATCTTTTATTATGAATTTAAGTAGAATCCACGATACTATAACTAAGAAAAGTAAAGCACACTGCATATAAGCGAATCTCCCATCTTGTAATGTGAGTGATTTTCTTATTGAGGGAGATTGAAGAGAAGTATACCGAGAGGGAAAATGATATTTTGATATAATTTAGGGACCTAATTCAATATAATTATTGGATTGAAAGTGGTTCTATCTAATATTAGAAATTACAACTAATCCAATGACTACATTGAATTAGGTCTCTGATTTGGGATTGCTCNTTAGAGGAAACAGAAGATTATTGATGGTCAAACATAAAGGTGCGTACACAGTTACACCGAAGAATGGCTGCAAGGGAAAATTAGGTAGACTTGTGAATTCGGGGTTTGGCTCGAGTTAACCAGAGTTTTGTTCGAATTCAATTCAAGTTAACCTTAAAAACTTCAATCTTAAATTTAATTCGAATTAACCTATCAAAATTGCACCCCTAATATTTTAAGAGTGGCTTAAGTTACCGTGGGGTCCCTATAAAATGTATAGAGTCATAACCATATGCAAATAAACTTTTTTTATGACAAATTCCTGAAGTTCAAGTCTCAATGGAACTATATTACCGCAGCGTCAAAATTTACCCCACCAATAAATCGGAAAAAATTAAAAAACCTTGGAAGAAAAGGTAACGGGGAGGAAGGGGTTTAGATTGGTATTGATTTCTGGATTCACATTCGGTTTGATCTAAAATCTTTGACAGTTTGAATGAAAATCTTCATGAGCTTTAATTTATGGGACAGATGGCTGGGCCAACTACCCTAAACTTGCACTTCTCCTACTTCAACTTATTCCCATCAAGTACCGGCAAACACTCGGACAAGATCTCTGTTGCACGGTCCAATTCCTGCTCCGATATGATCAAAGGAGGCACAAGCCTAACAACGTTGCCTTTTCCTGCAGTTAGTACTAGAAGACCAGACTCTCGGCAAGCATCCACTAGTGGCGAGGCGGATACATCCAATTCTATCCCGATTATCAGCCCCAAACCTCGTACTTCTTTCACATGTGAATTTCCTCCTAATTTCTGCACCAACATCTCGGTTAAATATTTACCTTTCTTGGCGACGCTGGTCAAGAAACCTGGCTTGGTGATTTTATCCAGGACAGCAATTGCAGCATTGCAAACAAGGGGTCCACCAGCAAAAGTGCTTCCATGATCTCCGTAATTTATGGCAGCAGCTACTCTTTCAGTTACTAGCACGGCTCCAATGGGTAGACCTCCAGCAAGAGGCTTGGCAAGAGTCATTACATCTGGGAATACACGATAGACTTCATGAGCCCAGAGATAACCAGTGCGACCCAAGCCACATTGAACCTAGGGATATAGGAAAGTACAATATGTTTGTGAGGTGAACTAATTTCAGAGCAAATCAAACATCAAAAACTTGATAGATATACACATATACAACCGATAGCATTAATGATACTTGAATTCAACTAATGAAGCTAATGCCCCCCCCCCCCCCCCCCCCGAAAAAAAAAAACCAACAACTACAAAAAACGACTCCCCTAAAGGAAATGTTTTTTAGTTACATTTCTTTTTAATTATTAATTTGGTTAACAATAGTCAGACGGTTGGTTACTTGCAGGAGAAAAATTCACCAGTTTGAAACTTTGTTAAGTAATGTGATGTAAGGAATGATATATTGGTGATGTTTGTCTTCTCTAGACTCAATTGCTTGTAAATTAGCATTGAAAATTGGAAAACAGCCAAAAGCCTACATGAAGGGAGGAGTCATTTAGTTTTTCATACTCAAAAGTGTTTTGCATCATACCTCCAAATAATTTGGGTCTTTGATCTTCCTTTGATTTATCTTTAACTATTGATTGTGGAAATGTTAAATTAAAGTAAAATAATAAAATAAACAATTTTTACACGTGTCAAGTTTTCATTCATAAAAATAAGATATGATATCGAAAAGTTACTTTTTTTGTACCATGATAAATCCTTTCTCAATATACTAGAAAGGGTATGTTATAAACTATTTTCTTGTGAGTCAGTGATACTTTGCTTCCCTACATTTTCGAAATCTATACATAACCCTTGTGATTTGGGACCAAATTAAAACATTACTTCCTTGTGTTAGCAATTTTTTTTTTTTTTAATAATTCTTTGAATAGGTTCACCATGTAGACTTTCTTAATGGTTATGGTAACTGAATAAAGCAACCTATGTTAGGTGTTGCAGTTGGTCATCCTCCTGATAAAGCATTGTTTTTGAATCACTTACACTCCAAACAACCATCTTCTCATCTACCACTTCTTTGAGTGGGGTTACCTGCCAAGCCATTGCTTAATATTATCCTACAACTATTATCCTCCCAATCACGCACCTTTTGGATTCATAACTGCTAAGAATACATATAATCGCCGGAAAACTATGTGCACCAGATCATTTAAAAGTCTTTTGTGCAAGATCCGGATTTTGGGAACTCAAGATACTAAATACTAAAGCCTTACAATCTGCATTACTCTGGCAATTTCACCACTTAATAATTGAATGATTATCTTGTATCTCTTATAAGAAGCCAAAAACAATGCACTAGAAGTTTAGAACTCTTGCGCACAAGCACCGTTTGATAGTGTTTTTGTAACTAATTTTATTTTTTTAATTAGCGCTTGCCTTGTACTTTTGTTTTTTTCCCTTATCTGGACTTGTTATGTTCTTTCAAGCTTAATCACATACATAATAATATACATATGTGCATACATAAATGTGTCATTTTGTACTAATAGACATATGGAATACTTTTACAAAAATAATAAATCATGCTTTTGTTTATTTCTTTTGAATTTGCTTAGAAAAATACTAACTTTGTTGCAACTTGGCAGGTATTTTTCTTATGTTTGTTAGCTGGTTGTAGCATCTGTTGGTTCAACACAGTATGTTATGTTCTATGCATCAAAAATTTCTCAGCCAACAGGCCACTAGCCTTGTCCCTCAGCATCAGTTTCAATGGTGTAAGTGCAGCACTATACAACCTCATTGCCAATGCCACAAACCCCAACAATGACACTCAATACCTTCTTCTCAATGCCCTTGTCCCTGTCATCACCTCAGCCACCGCCCTCGTTCCGATTCTCCGGCAACCCCCTCCTCAGTCCCTTCCGGCTGAGGCGGTGCGTCGAGACTCCCTCACATTCCTCTTTCTCAATAGCCTTGCATGTTTTACTGGCCTATATCTCCTCCTACTAAATTCGATATCATCCAATGCTTCAGTAGCTCGTACCCTCCTAGCTGGAGCACTCTTTTTGCTAATTCTTCCATTGGTTACCCCGGGGATCGCCTATGCTCGGGGATGGGCGGATCGAACGTTCCACTCGAGCTTCCCATTGGAAGGCTCGAGTTTCGTTGACATTGATGATCTTGACCTTCATAAGGAGCTCATTGGGAGTGAGGATTCAAGCACTAATGTTTTGCTTGAAAGCACGTATAACTCAAAAGACAAAGATGGGTGTTGTGACACCATGTGGGAGAAGGATCGCTTGACAGCGCTTGGGGAGGAACATCCGGCAACATTGCTTGTGCGTCGGTCGGACTTCTGGCTGTACTACATAGCATACTTCTGTGGGGGAACAATAGGGTTGGTTTATAGTAACAATCTGGGGCAAATTTCAGAGTCACTTGGATACAGTTCACAGACTAGCTCCCTTGTTACACTTTACTCTGTGTGTTCTTTCTTTGGTCGTTTGCTCTCAGCTGCTCCAGACTTCCTGAGACAGTAAGTATTTGCTCTAGTATCTCTCTTTTATGGTGTTGATTTTTAACATGAGTCTGAACGGAGGGAAGCTCAATTCATTTAATCAAACAACTTGAGCTCGAATATGGTCAGAAATTAACGAACAGAGCTTAAACAAAATATTCAGAGCTCGTTACGATCCTGAGCCCATCTCGAGCACTCTTTCTAAACAAAAAATCCAAAAGCCCACGTAGTCTTGTGCTCGGCTCGTTTTGATTCATTTGCACCTCCATATAGACACTAAAAATGTTTCCTAATGCAGCAAGGTATACTTTGCAAGGACCGGGTGGCTAGCAGTTGCCCTTGTGCCAACACCAACTGCCTTCTTTCTGCTTGCTCTCTCTGGCAGTAAAGCCGCATTGAGCGCTGCAACAGCGCTGATTGGACTCAGCTCTGGGTTTGTATTTTCAGCAGCAGTGTCAATCACATCAGAGCTCTTTGGACCGAACAGCGCCAGTGTCAATCACAACATTCTGATAACCAACATTCCGCTTGGATCGCTGCTCTATGGCCTTCTTGCAGCTCTGGTCTATGATGCAAACCTAGGAAGCTCAAACACGGTTGTTTTGATGGATGGGTCAACGGTGTGTATGGGCAGAAAATGCTACTTCGAGACATTTTTCTTGTGGGGTTGCATCTCCTTGCTGGGTGTAGCTTCTAGTTCTTCGCTTTACCTGAGAACCCGGGCGGCCTATGACCGGTTACATAGAAACAGAAATCGAATGCAATTCTCATAACCATTGACATAGTTTTTTCCATGTTGATGGGTACTCAATTTTGTGCTGAAGATGAAGTAGGGTTTTAGGAAGCAAATGAGAAATGTATTTCATATTTCACACAGTTGCATCTAAGGCTGACAAAAGAACACAACCATCAATCCAACATGTAATCGACATAACGTTACTATGTATGAGTCTAGGCCTACTGGGTTTAAGTTGTAATAAATGGGTGAAGACGAACCCTCTTATACACGTGATTCACTGCATGACACAAGCTGTTGGCAACCCTAACATAATTCATGTTTGAGAGGGGGGTTATTGGCGTGGGAAAGTGATACTCCCAGCTTAAAGCCTATTTCTTCTTTCAGAGACAACCGTTTGGATGGAGAAGATAAAGTGGGGAAAAGTAACTCAATCTCTTTCAGAGGGTAGCACTACGCTTATACATACCAAAAGCATCTCTGATTCTCATATACCTGATCTGTTCAATTGAAGAACATCCCCCACCCAAACCCCAAAACAAACAACAACCCAAAAAAAGCCAAAAGGAAAAAACTCCAACAGGGGCTCAAGGGTCAAAAAATATAAGAGTCTTCTCTACTGAAAGTACTGTACATTCAAAAGAAACTGGCAACACCCACCTTGCGTGGAATAGATTGTTAGCGAGAGCATAACCAGCATAATGCACTAACATGAACAAAAGAAATTCCAATCCCAGTACGTCAAACAGTAGATGTGATTGGCTCAAGTTCCAAATACAAGTCGTTAATAAAAGCTTGTAACAAAAATTAACATGTGAAAAAATGTGAATTTTATTGAATAAAGATCGGATTGTCTGAGGTCTCACCATGTACCCCAGCCATCAATTCAGCTGGAAAGTCACCTCTGAGAATTTGAACTCGGAACTTGAGTTTCACACGACTGCACTCGATAAGTTCAAATACGAGTGCATCCCCCATCTTTAGATCATTGTCAATCACAAATGCTTTCCAACTGATATCAAACCTTTTTTGGCTACGGTCTCCATGGTAAACAGTCCGCCAGTTCTGGCCACAATATGTGATAACGGCAGGCACCGCAGCAGAAGGAAGCAGTTGGTATAATTTCACTGGCACGGCCTAATAGCATTCAATGGAAATATCAATAACTTGGTCAAGCTTTACTTGGTGTAACGTTATACCAAATTCTAGTAAAAGGTGCAGGCAGTGTGCCTTCAACTGAAATTTAGTCCAATTTCAGTGCCATAAAATGTGCTTCAAGCAAATATCATTAATTCTAGTACACAATCACCATCGATATTAATATTGTATCACAAAATTGTTTAAAAAACCTGAACCATCACACCATCAGTTATCTTCCTCACCAAAAAACAGCAAGGATCATATGGATTTGCAGTCATTCAAAATAATACCTGATCTACCATAAGCAAGAGCAATATAGGTAATTAAATGATCACCTGGTTACTGTTATCACAGTAAAGTGGTAATAAATTTATCGCCAAGATCAAGGTCCACCTGATTGAAATCATACTACAGATTATTAAAAAAGTTGATTACCATATTAAATGCCGGCTTGACATGTGCTTTTGTAAGAACCACATCAAAGTATGGTTTCCCTGAAAGTGGCCAGAATTCATCTTCGAACTCAGTGGTCATAGGGTTCAACACAGGTTGGTGCTTCAATTGAGGTTTTTCACCAGATTGAGTCTCTCGTTTTTTCTTCCTGGGATTTTCAATTTCATTATCTGGAATACTAGCCAATCGGTTCATCTGGGAAAAAAATCCCGAAGTTACTCCACATTCTTTGAATAAAATATGCTAACAGAAGTATTCCAGACAAGACAAATATGGGACGTGACATTTTATATATAGAAGGTATCCACATAAGAGTAAACGGCGGAGAGAAAAACAACGATTGGATAGAGTAATTATATACATATTTATATATTCTAGATTACTTTTACTAAAGCTGGTGGATATTTTGCATACTTCTTTCAAAAACCCCTACAAAAAGATACTTTATACACATTTAAAAACCTGATGAAGCATAACCTGATTTTGTCTATCTTACCATAGTCATAAAGGTAATGGTCAGACCTTTGTTTCCTGTAGGACAGTGATGCCAGAAACATGGAGAAGTAGATCATAACGCAAAGAACCCAAGGTTCAAAGTATCGGCCGAGTTGTATCCGTCTCGGCAGCCACCGATCCGATAACGATACACGATTCAAGACTATAATGAGTCTGCCATGAATCGGTTTTGACTCGGCCCAACTCGATCTAACTTGGATTCAACTCGGTCCAACTCGGTCGATTCACCTCTGAATCGAATGATACCCACAGAATCGTCCACCCACTTTCAGGCAACAGAAAAAATACCAAAAAAAAGACAAAAAAAGATGACAAATTGAACCATAAATCAGACCCCTTTTATCATAATAAAACAGAACAACAAAGTGAGATCAAATTTGAACACAAACCTGAAAAATTGTGGTAAATCTCCTTAATCTGAGAGCCTTTCCTACTATTTGTTCTTCTTTTTCTTCTTCTTCACAGTAGCAGAGGACCAACATCATCGATCAACTTCGTAGAGGACCCAGCTAGCAGAGACTACTCTATCTACTTCGTAGTAGCAAATGATGATCGAATGATGACTACTCGAGTAGCAGATGATGATCGAACGATGACTTCTTCGTAGTAGTAGAGACAACAGCTCCAGGCCTAACTGTCTTCCAGTGATCGCCGGTGGGTTCTTCAACTCCACTCTCAGATTTTTCTCTCGATCGATCGATCGATCGATACACAGCGTCTCTGAAGGACCCAAGTTCAAACAGAGGCTTTTAAAGACTCTGTGTTGTCACTTGTCAGTGACTCAATTGTATTTGGGATAATTACATTTACATCCCCTAAAATTTTTCACTTAATCACTTAGATCCCTAACTAATAATTTATATTCAGACCCCTGAAGTTTATAAACATATATTACTTAAACCCCTTATGTTTTATTTTAATTATGTTTAATGTGCTTTTGGATTTATTATGAGTATATGATACATGAATGATGATGTTTATATTTTTCAAAATTTTTTACGATTTTTTCAAATTTTTTTAGAACTTGTATCTAGCTTTTTGAGTATATCGGCCGCTATTGCATTGCGATGTCGTGACTGATATTGCATCGCGACGCCGCGACCGATATGTATTAGTACCCTCTGAGTTGATGACCAATACCGCGACTTTGAACCACGAAAGAACCATCAAAGGGAAAAAGATGAGCTCACCACTCTAGGAAATCCACCAAAGAAATTCAAAGCAAAACTCACCACCAACTGAAGCTCAACCAAACGGACAAGAGTTTAAGAAGAAGAAATTCTAATTCTTAAAAACACAAATGCTGTTTTTTTTCATTGACTAATAACCCATAAGACTCGTAACAAAAAACACTTATAAATGCTGCAGAAGTGTAGTTCAATCGCCCCGACATGTTTATAAACATGAAATCACACAAACATGACCTAGTGGGGGGAGGTGAATGGGTCGATGCCACTTCTCGCAAAAACTTACACCAATTTAGACATTTCAACCTCAATTACCAATTGATAAATGAATTAAATTTAATGAACCCTTTTTACCATGAGCAAACCTTTGAATTGTGCATTCTTGTAATTCAATAATCACAATCAACAACACAAATCCACCATCCCGATCCCATACAAGCCCTTCCACCGATTCAAACCACAATGATGATGACTCAAGATTCAACAATCATATAAACATACCATCAAACACATTGAAGTCTCAAAACCTTTCATTTCCTTCCAATAGAATTGGCTATAAATTTTACAATAGATTGGGCCATTGGTCTTCCCACAAACGCTCCGGTGTCATATAGCCCTGTAGTATTACAAGCTAACAAATTGCAAACTTTGACCATATGAGGGCTTCATGCCAAGGTTGTATATAGATAGATCGATGCTCATACAAAGTAACAAACAAATGGAAAAATAAATTAAAGAAAATAATAACACAATAAGATGCTTAGAATACTTGAAAACAGAGTTATTGAGTATAGACCCACCAACACATCAACAAAAGAAAAAGGTCATTTTTTTAGTGTTATTAGTAAAATAAAACACAGATTTGTGTGGTCCTCTCAAACTCAAGTTATGACTACGGCTCACACTGCTATACTTTGGTAGAATAGAGAGATACAGGTTACAACATTTTCCGATGGCTAGAGTAATCTACAAACATGCCCCTAAAAGGCCTAAGCTTAATCAAGTGCCGGGATCCAAAACCCTCCCATTAATTGTATTGAAATACTTTGCCCTATTGGGAGGAGAAAATATCCAAGATAACAATTATACCACGTTATCATTGACATGTAGTATCACCAATCAATAATAAAACACGATGTAAGATAAGCGAATCCCACTACTCTAATGTGGTAATTAGCCAATGATGTTGGGTCTAGGCCGGACCAGGGTTTGGGGTTTGGGGTTGGATCCTGGTTAGGTCCTTATTTTCATTTCCACTCGGCGCTTTGTATTTTCATTTCCTTCGCTAGAACAACTTGTTTTTTCTTTTCCTTTATAGCTAGCATTCACCATTATGTTCGACTTGTTTTCCTTTAAACAAACAATATGGATAAGCAATAAAAAAAAGTTTGTAATAATCTATGTAAAGTTGTGTGAGAATGTTAGCAACTCATAAGTAATCAAAGGTTGGAAAAGAAAAAGAACAAAAGTCATCCAAAATGCAACCCAAATCATGTGAAGAACTAAAGAAAAAATGTATCCTAGAATTTAACAAAAAATTGAAGAATATAAAAATGCATGCAAATTCCATGTTGCTAGGAACAACAACACAACAATCATATCCCACCTCTAAAAATTCATTGGTTCAACAAAGCAAGTGAAAAAAATAAAGTAACTTCTACTAAATGAATTTATAATGGTAACAATTGTTGCTCAATCAACAAACCCCTCAACCAATTATAGGATAAACACCAACACATAAAATCCAATGCAATCTCTAAACAAATGTGAATAGTTACAACCGCCATGAGTGACACTACAAAGAGCATATTGGAAAGTCAAGTATAATACCCACGCATAAAATCCAATGCAATTTCCAAACTTATAATGGCAACAACTGTTGATCATGATATAATACCAACCCATAAAATCCAATCCTATGACTAAACAAATGTGAACATTTACAATCGTTATAAGTGACACTACAATGAGCATATCGGAATGTCAAATTCTCCAAATCAGATGTTAGCTGAAATTAGTGGAACAAAACCACAAAAGGGAGAAGGGCTTACAAAAATAAATATCTCCAGAGCCAAATTCAAATCTTATCACCTATAAATCACCACTTACCTGTCCAAATAGGTATTAAGCACATGTCCCTTTTATAACTCAGTCTGGAAATAATAACAAATCAAAAAAAAATTAAAAATAATTCATTATCAAAATTACCAATTTTAATTGATATATGTACACATTCAAGAATACAATTCAATTCAAATCAAGAATTCACATTGAATTCAATCCAACTCAAGTCTTGGTGCTCCTTAATATGCATATCACATGACAGGTTTTATGTTTTGAGGTTTATATAGGTGAAGAAAAACAGTTAATGCCCAAATGTACCACTCCCATCTAGCGATGATAATTAGTATGCTCCAAATATGTTTGGTAGTTTTGGTGATGTTAGAGCATATAAAGGATTAGCCATGAAAGCGATGAATGATGTAATTCAAATCAGTGTTTTGAAAAGCTTGCCTAGGCAAGAAGTGAAGTGAAACGAAGGTATCTCGCCTTGAGCACCCAGGCGAAGCGAATGTGACTGAAGCGAGAAAAAAGTGAGAAAAGCGAGCGCTTTTCACTTGAGTGAAAGGCCAAAAAGCGAACATCTTAGTCATGTGAGGCGAAGTTGTTTTATTTTTATTATGGACCGTTGGATTGAACAATTGAAAAAAAAATTATAAGATGCTAATAAACCAAATTATCCCCTTGACACAGACAGAGACGATTGTTGCTCTCCTACACTATCGCTGAACACAGTTGACAGAGACGATCGCTGGCCAGAGTCAACAGAGATGATCGCTGGACAGAATCGATAGACACGATCGCTGCTCCTTCCTCGTTGCTCCTTCTTCATTGATCACAGGTAAGTCTCCTCTTTTTCTTCTCTCTTCTATTTCTCTTTTTTTTTCTTTCTGGTTCTGGTTCTGAATCTTCTTTTTTTTTTTTGGTTGATTCTACTCCTGTTTTGTTGTCCAGTCAATATGAAATTGTTTACAACTGTTATGAAATGTTATTCAGTACATGTGAATGTGCTCCTATTCTGCTTCTGTTATTCAATACATATGAAATTGTTTACAATTGATTCTGCTCTTGTTCTACTTTTGTTTTTTTTTTTCTCATTCTGCTTCTGGTTTTTTTTTGCTGATTCTACGGATGTCCTGATTCTGCTTCCGTTTTGCTGTCCAGTTAATATGAAATTGTTTACAACTGATATGAAATGTTATTCAGTACATGTGAATGTGCTCCCGTTCTACTTCTGTTATTCAGTACATATGAAATTGTTTATAGTTGATTCTACTCCTGTTCTGCTTATGTTTTTTTTCCTCATTCTGCTTTTGCTGCTGTCCTGATTCTGATACAGTTATTCAATACATGTGAATGTGTTTTGTTCCTTTGATTGTAGTGTGATAGTGTTTTAATTTAAATGTTTATGATTTTACTTGCATTTAAATATTTAGTATATATAAAATTAAAACTTTAATGCTTAGAAGTAATTAAACTAAAATATTTACTTTTTTTTTGAACTGCTCGCTTCGCTTCACTTCTTGCCTTGGCGTTAGGAGTCTTGATCACTTTGGTTCGCTGTACGCCTTAAATAACATTGATTCAAATAACAGACTTATCAAGTTATTTTATTTATGGAAATTAAATTTATTTATTTTGGGAGTTGTTTTGTGCTCTAGTTTATATGGAAATGAGCCAGGTTATCACAAAGGGGTACTAAAGCAAGATAGAACTGCTTTGGCTGACTATCAGAGGTATGAGTTTTTTTTTTTCGTAGAAAATTAATTCACTCAAAACAACACAAAAAAGTTAGCCACAAAATTGGTCTAATGCCTACCCTCACGACTTAGACAGAATGACATAGAAACTACAAAGGTTGGTATCCAAAAACATTTGAGCCTAAGTTGTGATTGATATTGGATAAGGCATAAATGGTGAAAAAAGGCCATACCAATATCTCATAGACTAGCCTTGCACCATTTAACGTCCATTGTTGGATTTTGGCCATGTTAGAAAATTACTTTTATGCATGATCACTGATCAATTAATGAGGTGGAGGTTTGTTTAGTTGGTATTGATAAATTGATAGATAATTGCAAAGTTGTACGCTACTCCAGCAACATAATACCCATAATTCATATACAACAAAACCAAAACAGAGAAGAAGCACCAAATATGCAGAAATTGTTATAGATTTGTTATAATTATTTCAAAATACATAACCTTTGAATTATAACCTTTTTATAAATGTAAAAATATATTGAAGTTGTGATTCTTTACTTTTTCGAAAGGTTAAAAAAAATTAGATATTACAATAAAGTTTAGATACAAATCTTAGACCATTGGAACTAATTCAATAACCTATTAAAGCCGAAATATCAAAAAATGGATTACATGAACAAACAAGTCTCAAACATCCAATTGGGCCAAGCACACCATCTGCGCCTCTAAATTCCTTGAATTCATCATGATGAGCCAAATCACCTGACCCAAATAATTTTAACCGAAATCCACCTTCACTAAAGACAACTTTAAAATGCCAAATTTTCCACATGGTGAGACTTTAAGAGAGGATTACACACCAAAGCACTTGGGATTCTGTGCTAGGCCTATGTTCCAAGTCTGTTATGTTTTCCTTTTCCGTTGCAAGCTTACATGAGTGATTAATTACAAATCTTTTTTTTCAATCTGACAAACACACCACAAATCGATAACCCAAACCACAATTATCCACATCAAAAAAATTCCAACACACCCACCAATCGAGAACACAAACCA